GAGAGGTCATATTCACATTAGTTTTCTTGTTTTCATGGAATGCAGAAAGAGAAGACAAACCCAACAGCAGGTCAAACTGCCAGCTGCAGCTGCTGCTCAGCTCCAGCAGATTATATGGTTGTTTTGCTAGGCTGTGGTGCTTAATCCAGCATACAAGTAGAGCATTAATCCTCCATCCCTACCCACATCCCAGGGTCTAAGATTTTTCCTTTCCAGGTGCCAGGGTTGTTATTTTCACACACAATTACAAAATCGGTGTGTTCCCTTGGTGTTTTTTCTAGTTGTTTATTATTCACATTCAAACCTTTTGGCTATAAGGAGAAAAAGCAACAGGAAGAAGGTCATTTTCGTGACATTTACAGAAACCCATTATGCTCACCACCTTGACTCTCTGGGCCACTATACAGGAGCTTGAAAAGCAGTAAACTCAAATAAATGGTAGTATCTTCATGATCTAGGACCATGTTTATCCAGCAAGAGAATCTAGATGGCTGAACTGGGATTAAATTTTAATGCCATTCTGAACAGGTTGTGACCAGGAGGATTTACCAGCCAGGCTTGCCTGAGGTTGCGACCAGGAGAAAGAAAGAATCATCATGCCTTCCATGTCTAGAAAGTTGGAACACGTATATTTTTTCTCTTCCTCATGTTAGGTACAGCTAAAAATCCTGGACTTTATGAAAAACAGAGCACAAGAAGATTCTAAAAGATAGAAAGAAGCAGCCAGACAGGCTAAGGAACTTGGGACCTGAGAAATGATAGAATAGTGAGTTCCCTGAGTATCTTTTGCTTCATGTAATCCAATCAGATCCCAAAGAAACCAGTGGCCCGGAAATGCCAGTGGCTGCAGACAAAAAAGTCCAAAGAAAAGTCTGCTCTCTCTAGCCAAAGGACCATGTAAAGATGACAGCCTAGCAAAACAGAAAGGTTTTAAGACAATAGCTAGTCTCCTCAAGCCAAACACCACCAGTAGGTTAACAGCAATCAAGCAGACTCTCAATCAAGAAAAAGGTAACTGAAACCTGGTAGGAGAGCTTTGTGATGCTTGAACTTACCTTTGCTCCTTCTCATCCCTTGCTCAAAGACAGTCTTTAAATGGCAACTGACATTCCCATTGTGGGTTACTGTGCTAGTGGGAGCAGAGAGGACCTTGTTATTAAAGAATAGCACTTGATTGCTTTGTCCTGTCAGGTGGCTCCTTGAAGGACTAATGTAAAGGATTTGCCTGTATTTCACATAACTCATAACTCTCTCAGGACAGAGAAATGCCTACACAAAAGAACTTTTCTGAAAACAAAGTTCACTAGAGAAATTCCACAGCAGGGTTGAGTAGACCAAAAAAAGAAACCACAAATTTGAAGTTAGATCAACTAAAATTATTCAGCTGTAGAAGGAGGAAGAAAATAAAAAGAAATATGAGCAAAGTTTAGGGGACCTGTGGGACATTATCAAATGTACAGAGATAAATATAATATAAGTGCTAGGAGGGGAGTAGAAAGATGAAAGGAAAGGAAGAATATTTGAAGAAATATGTGACTAAAAACTTTCCAAACTTGACAGAAGATATGAATCCACACATCCAAGAAGCTGAGCAAGCACCAAGTAGGATAAAGGGAAAAAACAAACAAACAAACAAAATCCACACTGAAACACATTATTATCAAACTTTTGAAAGAAAAGGACAAGAATCTTGAAAGCTTCAAGACAGAGTGACTTATATACAAGGAATCTTTAATAAGATTAACAGTCGATTTATCATCAGAAACCATGGAAGTTGAAGGCAATGAGATGACATATTTAAAGTGGTGAGGGAAATA